GAGAATGAATCATACTTTGAAAAAAATATTAAGAATTTATTTTACTTATAATCAAGATCACTAGAATAAATATCTTGCTACTGCTAAATTTGCATATAATAATTCTATTTAAACTTCTTTTGATCATATATTTTTTAAGTTAGATTGTGATCAATATCTAATTACATTTGTAATACTTGTCTCAAATAATAAAGTCATTACTATTGATGAATTTATTCAATATTGGAATAACAAGATAAAAGATATTAAAGATTTATTAATAGAAGCATAGGATTATCAATCTAAATATACTAATTAATATTATCATTATCAAGAATTTAAAATCAGAGATCAAGTCTTACTTTCAACTCATAATATTATAGATCTTATAGATAAATAACATTCTAATAAAAAGCTTATATCTAAATATATTAATTCTTTTACTATTCTTTCACTATTTCATTTATTACATATAAACTGAATTTACCTTCACATATAAAAAATTTATTCTATCTTTTATATTTTATTATTAAAGTTATATAATCCTAATAATAATAAAGAATTTATTCATCCAATATTACTATAACTAATTATTTTATCTGGAACTGATAAAGAAGAATTTGAAGTTGAAGCTATTTTAAATAAAAGAATTATTTGTAATAAATCATAATATTTAGTTAAATAACTAGATTATCCTCTTCATAATTCTACTTGAAAAACTTTAAAAATCTTTATAATAATATAGATCTTATAAAATCTTTTGAATCAAAATATTAATAAGAATATTGAGAGATAATGTAACAAATCTAATTTTCTTTTTCTCTTACAAATTATTACTATACTATATACTATATTATATATAATACTATATCACAAAAATCATCTCATAAAGTCACATAGTATATTTGAGCTATTTTAGCTATAGATAGTTTTCTTAATAGAATTTTTCTTTTCTCTTGTTCTACTAATTTAGCTAATATACTTTATATTTATATATTTTATTTATAATTATTTATTTCTTTATCTATTTATTAATAAGTATCTTTCAGATGTATTACTATATAAGTATTATCTATTATTAATTTATTTATTATATTATTAATTTTATATAATATTAAATTATTATTTAAAGATACTATTTTTGTTTGAGTTTTCATAATCAATTATTATTTATTTATTGAATTATCTATTAATTATTATCTTGAGATATACTATATAATGAAAAAATTAGCAGTGACAAATTTTTGTATTTCTGAGCAACTATAATAGATATTTAAATAAAATTTGATGTATTAAAAAGTCTAAAAGATTCTTTATTAATTATAAAATTTTTAGTAGAGAATTCTATTATTATTTGCTTCTATTATTAATTCATATATATTTTTTATTGATTATTCTAAATTAATTACTGTTTCATTAGGAATTACTTTTTATTCTTCAGTTAAAAATTATTTTAATAGCTTAATATTTTGCAATATTTATTACTTAACTTTATTCTTAATTATTTATTATAAGTTTTTAATAAGATTAAGATCAGAATTATTTGTCAACCAATCAATTAATTACCTTAATTCTGTTTTCTGCAATAAAATTTTTTACTATCTTGAATATGTGCTTTGAATCATTATCTTATTGCAAATATTAGTTATTATCATATATATTTTATATAACAGATAAAAGCTGGATTGGTAAGATATTAATATAAAATAGTCTATCTATTATTTTGATAAAGTAAAATAATCATGTTTTTCTTTTAAGTAAGATTTCACCTCATATCATAATCTTCTAATATATTTTAGATATCTACTAAAAAGATTTTATTTTAGTTTTGTATTACTAATAGACTTTATTTTAGAAAAGATCAAATATAATTTTATTAATGAAGATTGTATAGCTCTAGTTGTCTTGCATATATACTTCTGTCTATCTTTTTCACATTTTCACATACTGATCTGTAAGCATCAGCATCCTATAAGATATAAGCTTATATAATCTTTTTTCTTAAATTTTGCCAAATTATTTGATATAATATTAATATTTCTTAATTTTTTTTGGTACTTTTACAGCAAGTTATCATATTAAAATATCATTATTATTATATATAGATTGTTTAATAGTAGTAGCAATTCTTTATATAATCTTAGATTTGTGATTATTCCCTCGCTGATACTTTACTGTATCTATTTCTTTAAGTTTTTTGATATTTCATAAAGAAATTGTTTTTTAGTAGATTTTATTTATTAAATATATACTATTTAATCAGTAATATAATATTATTTTGCACTATATATAGAGTTTTGTATTAACTATGTTTTATTCTGTTATATAAATAGCAAGAGGATATCAAATAATTATTTTATTTTTAAATCTATTTGTTTAAACAGGTATTTATTAGAAAAACAAGACATATTTATAATTAATAATGTGATTTTTTATTTATTTTAAAAAAAATTTTGATTTAGCAATCACCATTTTTCTCATTACACAGTATATATTAAATTTCTAATTATCTTATTAGAATATCTTTTCAAAACTTTTGTCTCTATTATTATTCCCTTCAATTCTAAATTACTATATAATTTTATATATTTTATTTACTTACTAAAATTATTGGAGCAATATCAATTAATCAAATTATATATTTATTATTTCAAGAATTAATTTAGCTTGATCTTAGTAAAATATATATTAGTTAATTAAGACAAAAAATAGTATAACTAATAAATACTTTTATATTTAATATATTAGTATATAAGAAGAATAACTTAACTTAATTGAATAATTTTACTAATAGTTTATTCATCAAAACTTTATCTTTATTCAAGAATCTCTTTTGATATTAGTGAAATTAATGATTATTATTCTGAAATTAAAAACTCAGAAAATATCTCTATTTTTCCAGTATAAGTTATATTAATCCTGGAATTAAAAGAAAATAGTAACTCTTCAGATTCAGAAGGAAATATCCAAACTAGTTCAGAAGATAGTAAGCAATAATTAGAAGAAAAAGATAATCAAATAGCTTAATCAAATAACTTGAATAATCTTATCATAGCTCTTGGAGCTCTTACTAATTAAATAGCTGATCAAAATAACTGGTCTATAGAAAAAATTATCATTTTCATTAGAAAATATCAAAAAAATGATCAAGATCTAACCAAGTGACTGAAAGACTTTAATATCATCATACAAGCTAATGAAATTACAAATATCAGAAAAATATAATTAGTTAAAGAATATCTAGAAGGTACTATTATCTTGTGATATGACAAAAGAGGAAGAAATAATAATATTCAACTAATCACTTGGAATGATAACCAAGATTTATCATACAACTTCTGTTATCAATTTGTCATTCACTTTTATATTCAAGAAAGAATTAATCAATGGCAAAATAAAATTAAAATCTTGTAACAAACTAGTACTATAGAAGAATACACAGATAAATTTATTAATTTACTTTGTAAAGTAAATTCTAATAATAAATATCTAAAAGAATATAAGATCTGTACTTATAGAAGAGAATTCAAATTAGAGATCAAAAAATAGGTTCAGATCTCAGCTAATAGAACTTTTCTAAATATAGTATAAGTCACAAAGAATATAGAAAAAGCAGATACAGGTATACTGATCTGTAAATATTATCAATCTCAGATCTAGGATAACTTTCTCTAATATAGAAAAAAAATATTTATATAATACAAATAATATAAAAGTAATAGATTTCATATATATTTTGTCATCTAAGTTGAAAACTTTGTGATTATTCAAGTTATTTATCTTGATATTTTGCTTTTATAATAGTTCAAAAATATATCACATATTATTAGATAATGTGAAAACAAAAATGCAATTCACTATAAAAATAATATGATACATGTATTTGCTTTTTAAATTTAGATATTCTTTTATTTGAACTTGTCATTCTTTTCTTACATCCATTTAAACATTCACTCACACATGACTGGTTGTATTGACAATCAAGACGTCCAAAATTTATCAATCTCAATAAACAGCTCTCTCGTATCACCCTATCTTATCACACAAAATGCGTTGTGTTCAAGTTGCAAGATCAAAACAGAAAGGTGCGAAAAAATGATGACATAGATTCATGAAGAGGGAAAAGCATATACGAGCAAGACATGAGATTGTTTTGGAATGCATTAGATAGGAAGGTACGAATTCTGTATAGATATAGGTGTAAGATTTTCCTTAAGCTTTGCTAGATAAGACAGTATTTATTAATATTCTGTAAATGTGTTGTAATAATAAATGATTGACATATTGTAAAGACTGAAATTGAAGTTTAACCATTTTAAACAGCCCTAATTAGCTATTTAATTTTGAGTTCTAAAGACTTGTAACAAATTTTAAGATTGATAACATTTATAGAATATAAGAAAACATCATGACAAACTGGAGTTATCTGTTCTTATTGCTATTCTAGTAAATATTCTCGATCTAATATAAAAACCACAAATTAATTTATATATCTCATTAAACACAAGTAATTCTGGACCAAATACATGTAACATGAACTCATTCTCAATAAAAACAGATACAGCCAACAATGAAAAAAGTTAATCATTATGTATGCTGTTTATAAATACATATCGCCGAATACGACGGCACATTATTATTCATTGAATCGCATTACTACATGCATATATCGTATGGCTTATTACACGTATTACATGTACATTACATGTATTGCATACAGCAGCAAGCATAGTATCACAATACAAATTTGTACTTCAAATTAATACTGTATATAAATTAAATTTTTTGGCAAAGTGCTATCCGTAGTTATTGATCGAAAAACAATTCACGTTAATAAAGAATATGATAAATTATTTTATCGGATTATTCAACAGTAGTAGATTTTCGTTATTAAACATTTTTTATCAATTCATATCTTGATTAAATTATTTATGTCATTTTTTGTCTTACCTTAAACAAAGAAATATCAAGTCAATCTTTTCATCATACATACAAAAGCAGCATAAATATGTATGTGTATAATGAAAAAAATTCAGAACAAAAAAAGAAAAGAGAACTTGTATGAAATCTTTTTTTGTGAAAAAAATTATGCCACAATAATTTTACGATAATATCCTTTCAATAGGAACCAAGAAGAGAATCGAGAAACAAACGTAGAGGAAAGTCGAGAGGATGGTGTGGCTAACGATATTAAATCCAAATGTGAATCAGAAATTTGTAAGAACAACGACAGAGAAAAAATTGTGAGCCACAAGAGATCACAGGTATTTCTTTGAGAAATTTATAATTGTTAAAATTTATTGAATAATTAATTAATTGATTAAATTTTTTTAAAGGGACAAATGTTTTATTTAGTCAAATACAAGGGTATGAAGATTTATGTTCTTCAAAAAAAAGAGTGTGTGTAATAAGAAATCGTATGATAATAACGTCCTTGAATTTCTAAGATATGCCTGAAGACAAAAATCAGTGGGAACCAGCTAATAATTTGTATGTATTGAATATATCTAGATGAAATCCAAGTATTTAAATAATTGAGAACGATATTCTTTTATTAGAATTTGTAACGATATTATTACTCAATACTGGGATCGTATTGAAGAATCCATAAACGAGAATTCGAATAATCATCAAAAAACCTCGAATATCAACGAATCGTCTGAGAAAGCTACGACAACGACGAGTACGACGAGTACGACGAGCACGACACTTAAACGTCCACGTGAATTTGGAGAATACGCTGATGAAAATAATAGTAGAAAAAAAGAGAAGAAAATCAGAAAGCAAATTCCCTTTCATGAGTTTGCGACTGATGAAGGAATTTGGGAGAACGTAGTTCAAGAGATTGTGACTGTTGATTATGAGCTACCATCTTCACACAAGGAGGGAGAACTGATTGTTTATGTCAAATGGTATTTGTTCAAGAATTTCTATGATAACAATCTATATCTCATTGATGATTTATTGTGTGATATCTTTTAGGAGAGATGGTTCAATTACGAGTCATAAAAGTAGCGAAATAAAAGTAAAATGTCCTCAACAGGTATTTTTATTTTTCTATTTATTTGTCTTTTCAATTATTGTGTAAGTCCTTAATTAATAAATGCGTCTCTTCTGCTGCTCAAATAGTTGATCAAGTTCTACGAAAACCATTTGGTATTTCCTAAAAGTAGGCACGATAGATAGTTCAGTATATAAGTGCAACTCTCGGATTGTAATTAACTTTGTTTTGTTCTCTCTCTCTCTCTCTCTATATATATATGTATGTATATATATATTCGAATATTAAAATCCTTTAGAGAATTATGTTAATTAAATTGGATAATAAATTTATTTTTAGAAATAGATATTCTGAAATTCTAAGAAACATATTTATCGTTATGCAAAATCGTCTCATCTTTATTTAGTTTTCCCATCTATAGTTGAAATGAAAAAATTTGCACTGAAGTGACTTTTCTCGGTAGTTTTTTTTAGTGATCTATTTAACAACGGTAAACAGTCACAATGATTAGGAATCCGAATTCTCTAAACAGCAGAACTCAATCATTTCTCTTGCTAGGCATTCAAGGATTTAGAAAGTGGAATTTAACGCATTCTTTATTATAATGTTGCAATGAGATAATTTATGTTTCCGGTCAAACCTGTATTATTTGCGAATTCTTCTTATTATAATGATTTTTGTTAAGATTTTTGTATTATTGGTCGAATTCAGACCATAAAGACAAAAAATTAGAAAGATTCAAAAATACCTAAAAAAGTGCTTTGTTTAGATTATAAATAGAATAGTAATTGATTATGAAATTGTTACAAGTAACATAAGTATAAGGCAAAAATTCCTATCTAAAAAGAGTAAACCTTTAAATTGATACATTTAATTAATGTTCAATTTAACGCCATAAGAGAATGCAAAATCAAGCTCAATTTTTAAATAGACATTTACTAAATATTGAAACGTCATCATTATTAAAAAAATACCTTTACTGAAAATTCATCTATTAAAGACAATTTAAACTTGTAATATAAAATAATTTATTGCAAAAATAGAACATAGCCCAGAAATGCCTGATCTCTTCACAATTGCTGAAAACAAACATTTTCATTCACCAATTCCTGAGAGGATTGGTGGCTTTTTTAGTAATTTTATAACCATAGAAAATTGCACTGTATTATCTAGATCTTATACATGTATAAGCGCAGTTTTTAACCCCTTGGATGGAATGATTTTCTTTCTGGATTACGTGTTTCGGTTCATTCCGTACGTAATACATGTACATGCACATGTTCTTTGCAGGACAGACATCACATGACATTTACATGTAAATAAGTAAACATGGGGCATGCTGCAACAAAGTGAATACCACAAGAGAAGTATGCCATCAACACGACGCTCAGTTTACATCTTGATTTGCTTGAATTATTAGCAGGCAATAAAACGAAATGATGAGAATCAGAAATAGCCGGTAACAAATTAGTTTCCATATTTTAATGACTACATATAAGAACGAATTTTAAACATATCTTTAATTTATTTTTTCTTCGTTCATTACTTAATTTCCTATATTTACAACTTTCTTCTATTTAAAACTTCGTTTACCGAATTGTATGCGATTCAGCATTCAATCTATTATTAGCTATTTTGTGTGCTACTGATCGAACTTGTTCTGCTCAACCATTAAACTTTTATGAATAAATCTCAAATGCTTGAAGCAACGATTCAAGTAATTTAGTGATAAAATCCAAATCCAGGAAATTGCTCAACAGATAAAAACACTTGTTTATATTGAAATTTATGGAAGGATTTGATAAGAAGTCTGAGCCGAGCTCAGATTTTCGATTAATAAATTAATAAAATAACACTAAAATGTGCAATTATGTTGAAAAAAGATGTTGCTGCTTTCACTCTAAAAATTTCCACCAATCCTTGAAACAAATAATTCAAGAATTGATTAATAAATAGAGTGAAAGAAAAAGAAATTAATAAATAATAACAAAGTGTAATATTAATTTTCACTAGAACGACCAAAAAACAAGATTATTCATTAATGAGTATTTCCTCTCACAGAAATGTACTCATTTTTAAAAATAATAAAGTTAATATTGTAGATTTGTATTGCCTTTTATTAATGATCTTTTTATATTTCATTTCAAAAACTCTTGAAAGAAAAAAATCTTTACAAATTGTATTTCCAAATTCAGGTTCCAATCTTCGAAAGAACAAATTTATGAGATTATATCTCAGTCATACGTCGAAAATAAAAATAATATCATTTAGGCGCAACGATATTTCTAAGTGGAATACATAATTGCTAATGACTTAGGTAATTTTATATCACCTGTTAGGGTAAGTACATCTAACAAGATCTTTAAATATAATCTTAATTTATTTATAAAAAAAATACTTGTTCATTTTCTGTATAATGAAAATATAATATCATTTTTTATTCACGCATAGCTAAAATGATGGTTGTTAATGAAAAGCTCAATTGACAATCTTATTTAAAGGCCTAATTATTAGTATCATAAATATTGTTTAATTAAGAAACTTTCGACCGGTTGAGCCAGTCATCCTAAATTATATTTTATTTCTTTATCAAAGTATGAAAATGTAATATTACGTGAAATTAATCTAAAAATGTATTCAAATAGTTCAATAGCGACTGTTGAATTTTTTGTCAGACAGCACCCGCCAGAAATAATCGACCTTACGCAATATGTGAACCATTTTCGCATGTTGTACGTCATTATTTACGACCAAAATATAAACAAAATTCAACCGTGAGACCGTAAAAAGATTTCGGCAAAATGGTTGGGTTAATGCCAGAGAAATTTCAAAAAAAATATTCATTTGATTTTGCTCCTGTGAGGATTATGTAGCCTCACTTTGAAAAAATGGATGCATCCCAGATATTTGTTGTCCTGGTCATCCATGCAAAATTCATTCACTATGCGTTGTCATATGAATCAAATCATAAATTCAAATCCTTTCTTTATAACAGCTGAAATCAAAGCACAACTTAGGAAAATACATTCAGAATTCAAAGCTGATATTCAAACTATTTGTGATGAGACTTGATTATATTGCTTTCTTACCAAAATGTATTCCTTTTCTCACTTCTCAAGACAAAAAACTGATTTTAGTGGATAAGAAATTATCTTAATTATAATTGGCACAAGATTATATTTTATAATAAAATAATCCTGCGATTTTTCTGAAATACTTGTTTATTATAATTATATAATAGTGATTATACCAATGATAAAAAATTTACTTAAACTTTATATGTAAAGAGTAAATTTATGCATGTGATAAAGTTGAAATATGCATATTTATATAAATATAAATTAATACTTATATTATGAAATTCTTGATAATTATTTATAACAATATAATAAATATATGTGATTATTTTTACTGAATTTTTCAGTAGAATAATATTATTCCAATAATATATTAAATAATCTTGAAGTTCAGCTATCAGAATATATTCTTTTATAATTATTATATAATTCAGATCTTTTTTTAATTGAAAATATCTGATTATTTCTTAAATAAAATATTAAAAACAAGAAGATATAAAATAATATTCCTAATAATTTTTAAATTATTTAAAAAATGTGATATTTCTAATTTATTAGATAAAAGTAATATTAGTCAATAAATTAGAAAAAATAATTTTTCAAAATTGATTACTAAAAAAAGAGGTTGTTTATTTAACTTTTCTAAGACTTTTAGATCTGAAGAGAAAGAAATTGCTTATTTTAGAAGATTACTTATTATTAGAACTTTATAGTATTTGAAATTAATAAATTTTATTATAATGTTAACTGGAATTCTAGTTAACAAATCTGAAATTATACAAATATCTTTGAAGATAACTAATAAAAAAATATATTTATCAGTAATAAAAATTATTAATGTAATAGAAATATGATTATTTATATTATTATATGAAAATTTATAAACTTGAAGAAATATGATTATTTATATTATTATATGAAAGTTTATAAACTTGATAAGTATTTTTCATAATAAGAATCTTATAAGTTTTGAAAAAAGAATAAATTTAATTTCATTTATATTTTAAATATAATTTGAGATATATAAGTACTCTTGAATTATTTGATAAATATTTCTTTATAATAATTAGATTTTCTTTTTATACATATACTTCTATTGAAACTTGAAATATATAAAAAGATAAATCTAAATAATCTCTTATAAAATATAATTACTAATCTTTATTAGGTTTTTTATTATTAAATAAATAATTTTATTTATTATTATGTATAATCTTCATAATATAATAGTTTATTCAAATTTTTATATTTTCTTATAATAATCTACTAATTTTATTTCTTTATAAATATTCAGAATAATATTAGAATTAGAATATTTGAATAATTATTATTTTTAATTATATATCTATAAGTTATCTTATAATTCTAAATCTTTAAATAGTTTTATATATGCTAGAATATTTAGAACTAGAAAGTATATTAAGAGTATTTTAAATAATATTTAAATAAATAATTTAATTAACTTTATAAATTTTTGATTTTATTTTAATTATAAGATTATTTTCTTTATTATTTCTTTTATAAATTTATTTTCTTTGACTTTTATAGATTTGCTTTTTATTTAGCTATTTTAATTAATAATTCAATTATTTATAATTTTTATTTAATTAAATTTACTATTTAAATTATAAAAAAATAATCAAACAAAACTTTATAATTATAAATTATAAATTATAAACTATAAATATAAATATTATTTAAGTAAGAAATAAATAAAAGTAAAAGTTTTAAATAATAAGTATTATATAAGATATGATATAATAAAAATTAATAATTTTCTATAATATATAACATGACATATAATAATAGTTTTACTAGAAATATAATATTCTTTAGATATTAAATATTACTATTATTTAATAGATTATAATTAGAAATAGATAAATATATGCATAGTTTATTAT